TCATCTAGGTCTCCCATGTGGCTGCAGGGGCCCAAACACTTGGACCATCTTCTGCTGCTTTCCCAGGCATATTAGCAAGGAGCTTGACTAAACGTGGAGCAGCCGGGGCACAAACCAGTGCCCATATGGGGTGCTAATACCACAGGTGAAGGCTTAACTCAATACACCTCAGGGCCAGCCCCTACCTTTGTCTTAATTTACAGCAGGCTTTTATGAGTTTTTAAGTTTTTAACAAATCTTCGCTGGTGATGCAAACTTTATCATGTATGAATCCACAGAAACCCAACTTTCTTTCTATTTTATTTTGATGAGCGTATAAAATGTTGGGAGCACAGTGCATTGTGCTGACTTATCCCATTTTTGGTAAATGCTCTAGTTGTTTCCTATTCAGGGATACAACATTCACAGCTGGTCTGCTTAGGAGTGAACTCACAAAGGCATTACATCTCTGTTTCATTATGAGTACAAGAAACAGGACCCAAAGGGCAGACAACGTCACGCTTTTTACTAGTCCTAATTATAGCTATAAATGTATAGAATTCTGGACCAATCTCTCTTTCTCTCTCTCCCTCCAGATACAAAAATCCTCAAGCAGAGCAGGCTTGCTAAGTTCTTTGAGTGTCCACTTGTCCCCTCCGTTGGAGTACCAGCTTCAGCAGGGCCTGTGCTGCTGGGTGTTTAGGTGCCGCTGGCGCCAGAGGCCCAGAAGCTTCTTCTGTGTGCAGAGGGATGAGGAGCTGCTCTTGGCTGTCTATGAAACCCCTTGTTTTCTGGTCGGAAGCCTCCCTGGAAGACTACGGTCAGAAGATCCTTGGGCAACAAATCCTGCTTCTCTGTTGGACCTGCCAGACTCAGTAATTTATTCAGGGAAAATCTGTCAAGACAGTTACTATGTGATCTGTTTCCAGGCATCTGAAACATTCAGTGAAACTTTCTAAAATGTTGAAACTATACTGTAGGTTTTTTTTTTTAACAAAGTTTTTATTTGAGAATAGTCTTTTTATACCAGGAAATAGTTATCCTGAATGATGTTGAAAACTTGCTCCCTTCATTTTAATTTAATCAATATATGTTAACATTACCAAAGGAGGGCAAAGGGAAGTGCAAATTAATCTAAGAGTAAAGCAGGAGTGACATACGTACTTTCAGATATCAAGTCATAAGCGCCATTGCCACTGGCTCCTTGCTCACTCTGTGACTGCTTGATCTGGCCATGGCCAGTTGCCTTATCCCAAGGACATTCAGGTAGCCTGAGGAAAAGCCCTTGGAATAAAGAGCTGATGCCTTCTGCTAGCCTGGCAAGTGCACACTCCAGCTCCGTCAAGCCTTCAGTACAGCCCTTGAGGTCATTCAAGCTACATCTCCATGACAGGCCCTCAGCCAGACCACTAGCTAATCCACTTAAATTCCTGACCACAGAAACTACAACATAAATAAATGGTCTGTGTTTTAGGCTTCTAGGTTTGGGGTTGAGTGACTATGCAACAATAGATAACTAATACAATATTTAAATGTGATAGACATTTAAAACTCAGAAATTCACAGACTTTGTTTTGCGAAACAAAAAATTAAAAGATAGATTAGAACAGTATGCCAACATGTGCCTAACACATGACTAACGTGAAAATGACCAGTTTTAGACAATGGTTTTGACAAACCATTTTAGACTTCCTGAACCAAGCCTGACAATTCAAGCAAGAAAACAAAGCAAAGCAAAACAAAATAAAAACAAAACCTGATGCTACCTAACACTGTTTTTCTTACATTAACCGCCAAGTGATGTTCTGAACATTTTAAAATTATCCATTGTCCTGAGGGGCAAACATGTATAACTTATTGAATTAATCAAAACACTTGGTCCAGGTTTCCCCCAAGTAGAACTGGAAATGAAAACAGGACAGGCATCGTGCTGCCGAAGGTTAAGCAGGTACTTTTACCACCACACCTCATACTGGTATGCCAGTTTGAGTCTCAGCCATTCTGCTTGCGACTCAACTTCACGGCAAGGCAACAGTTGACCCAAGCATTTGTGCTGTTGCCACACATGTGAGAGAGCCAGATGGAGTTCCTGGCTCCTGTCCTTGGCCTGGCCCAGCTCTAGCTATTTCAGCCACTGTGGCAGTGAACCAGTGAATGGAACATCAATTTCCCTCTTATCACTCCGCCTTTCAAATAATTTTTTAAGTGAAAAAAGTTTCCAGGTACTCAGAGTCAACAGTCAGTGCATTCTGTGAAACCATTAAAATCCAAGCACCCTCCCTTATTATAATGGTCAGGAGAGCTTCGAGGCACCAGTGATGCTCAGGAACCTGGGTAAGCTTGGAAAACAAAGAGGCCGGGACTCAAGGTTTACAAAAAAGTTCAAATTGTATATTGTTCCATCCACTCAGATTGTTCAATTTGGAGACCCTATAAAACTGCCCACTGGCTGCTTTCTGCAGTTTCTCCCTATGTTCTAAATCTACTCATTCTGAGTAGCTGGACCAGAAAAAGGAGACCTAGACTTGGACTGGGATCCTGTTCCAGACAGTCACCCCACTGAGCAGATACTGAGTCTGTATCGTGTCAGCTGCTGTGCTGGCAGCTGCTGCTATAATAGCGAATAAAAACAGGCGAGGCTTCTACCCTCATTGAGTGACTAACTCATGAGGGAATAAGATAATCACAGATCAATGTGAAATTGCACTCAGCTGACAGGTGCACAGGAAGGGTGGCGGGGGTGGGAGGACTGGGAGTGTTATCCCAGGGCAGCAGTGCTCAATGCAAGAGTTACAGGATGAAGAGCTACTAGACTAAGAGAAAGCACACTTCAGGCCAAGGGGATGCAGCAGGATGCGCCAGAGGCTGAAGGCAGGTCAGTGTGGCTAGGTGATGAAGGTGGGAGAAGAGGGCTGAATGAATATGAGACACAGGGAGGGGTCAAAAAGAAAGGACTCGGCAGTAGCCGTGAGAAAGGCTTTCGGCTGGAAGAACAGACAAACCAAACCACAGTGGCTTCACCTCATAGGGTGGTCTGTTTCCTCTTACACTTGACTGGAGATAGGAGGGATGTGTATAGCAACTCCATGATAGAGGCAGCATGAAGCACTTTTTCTCAGCTGGGTGTGACTCCATGCCATATGCTCAGGTCTATAGCAGCAAAATGAGAAGCAAAATCTGATTCTCTTCCCTTTCTCCTCTGCCTTCCTCTTGCTTTCTCTCTCACGCTGATTGTTAAAACACCTCAGCAAAAATAAAATTTGACATACTGTTACACCACATTTTTAATTTAAGTGCTCATCATCTGCTGCCCCCCAGTTGCATGAGCAGGAAGCTGGATGGGGGCAGAGGTAAGACTTAGTCCCAGCCTCCAGACATACACGTCCTGAATCCCTGGAATCCATGACGTCACTATGGCAAAGGGGATTTGTGCAAATGTGGTTAAAGTAAGAATCTTGAGGCAGAGGATGATCATGGATCATCTAAATAGGCCCTGACTATACTCACATGTGATCCTGCAGCAGTGGGGAACACTTGAGTTGCAGGTGGCCTAAGGCCTGTGCCATCACTTGATCTGCCCTGACAAGCCAACCACAGGCAGGACCTGAAATTCAATAGGACTGCAGCAGGCTAATTTTTGAGTAGATTCTTGTCTGTGACCTGTGAATAATGTTTTAAATATCCAAAGAAAATTTTCTGTCCACAAATGGAAATTTGACTACAGAAAAAGATTGTGATGACAGAAACAAAAATTTAGAATCATACAAGGAAAATGGCAAGGGATACAGGCAACTTCTAAAGGTTTAAAAAAGAAAGTGGGCACCGTAGTCCAACAGTGAAGTCACTGCACCACATATCTGACAGTCTTGTTAAGTTTCACCTACTCTGCACTTTGGACCATTTCCTGCTAACACACCTGGGAGGTAAGAAATGGGCTCTGGAGCCGGCATGATAGCGTAGTGGTTAAGGTACTCAACCTGAACACGCCGGGATCCCATACGGGCACCAGTTCTAATCCCGGCAGCTCCACTTCCCATCCAGTTCTCTGCCTGTAGCCTAGGAAAGCAGTGGAGGACAGCCCAAAGCCTTGGGGCCCTGCACCCATGTGGGAGACCTGGAAGAGGCTCCCGGTTCCCGGCTTCAGATTGGTGCAGCACAGGCCATTGCAGCCACTTTGGGAGTGAATCATCAGACACAAGATCTTTCTCTCTGTCTCTCCTCTTCTCTGTATATCTGACTTTGTAGTAAAAATAATCTTAAAAAAAAAGAAGAAAGAAAGAAAGAAATGGGCTCCTGTCATCAATGTGGGAGATCCAAATGGAATTCCTGACTCCTGGTTTCAGTCTGGTGCAGCCGTGATTATTGGTAGCACTTGGGGGGTGTGAACCATGGTACTCTTTTCTCTGTCACTCAGTCTTTCAAACAAATAAATCTTTTTTTTTTTGTAATTATTTCATTTTGATAATCTTTACACAGTTGATTAGGGCACAAAGGGTAAGGGCTACAGGAAAGTGGGTAAGACTATTGTTTTCACATTATTATTATTTTTTTAAGTGAGAAAATGAAATCCCCCTCAGAAGGAACCTCTGAAGAGAACAAATGTGTGCTGTTCCCAGCGACTGAATTCACGATAAGTTTTTTTTTAAGATTTATTTTTTTTATTACAAAGTCAGATATACAGAGAGGAGAAAAGACAGAGAAGAAGATCTTCCATTCAATGATTCACTCCCCAAGTGAGCGCAATGGCCGATGCTGCACCAATCCGAAGCCGGGAACCAGGAGCCTCTTCCAGGTCTCCCCAAGGGTGCAGGGTCCCAAAGCTTTGGGCCGTCCTCCACTGCTTTCCCAGGCCACAAGCAGGGAGCTGGATGGGAAGTTGAGCTGCCGGGATTAGGACCAGCACCCATATGGGATCCCGGCAAGTTCAAAGCAAGTACTTTAGCCACCAGGCCATGCCGCCGGGCCCAAATTTGTGATAATTTAACACAAGAGTAGGAGGGCACCTACAATATCCTAGACACACACTTACCTGGCAGGGGAGATACCGTGATCACTCAGGTGGTTTTCCCAGGGCGAGCCTCATCCATTGCACTTGGGATGTGCTGACCCCTGCGATTTCCCCAAATGTGGGAAACTCGGCTGCATAATTTGTGGTAGTGGAGGACTGTGTTTGCACTCTCCCCTGAAAAAAATAATTTAAAAAATAATTTAAAAAGTAACAACATCCTAGACATGACAGAGAGACAACTGCACATCGGGTCTGGGGGTGAGAGAACAGGTAATCAACACGTGAAATTTTGCAGCTACTCCTGCGGTGGCCCTGGGGCTGTGGAAGACAGGAGACACTGCCACCGCCTTGCTGAGCCTGAGCACTGGCATCCTTGCAAGTAATGCACGGGTGTCTTCATTTGGTGCTCAACCATTGTAATCAACTGTTTACAACACACGCGAAAACCAAGGTTTAGAGATTTTAAATGAAGTGTCAGGGATTGACGGCTTACAACACACACACACACGGTTTAGAGATTTTAAATGAAGTGTCGGGGAACGCACGGCGCAAGGCACAGAGGCAGTATTAACTAACTCCACCGTGGTGCCCAAGCACCAAAGGCGCTGACGCCGGCAGGAGTTCCTCGGTTCCCGTCCCTGGATTCGGAACGCTGGACTCCCAGGACCCCATGTGGGGAGCGCTGTCCTCGAACCTGTCTCCAGAACGCCAGGAGCCTGGTTCGGAACTCTGGAAACACCGAAAGTTTCCCACCCCCGTGTCCCTGGGTCGCCGCTCTCCACCGGGATCCAACACTCCGGATGACGGCTCGGGAGTACCTTCAGGTACTCTAACTACTGTCATTCAGATGCTAACCCTGTCTCCTCCGTTTGGTCAGTGTTTCCTCAAACGCAGACAAAACCAACAGCGACCGAATGAAATAGCCAATAAAACTCAACTCCGGCGCCCCGTCGTGCCGCGCAGGCGCAGCGGTTCCCCGACGCGCGGCGGAGGTTCAAACGCCGGCGCTACGGTTCAGGCCGGCAGCGCGCCTTGGCGCATGCGCACAGCTCCCGAGAGCCGCCTCGGAGGCCCTTCCTCGCATGCGCGGAAGCCCGGCTGTGAATCCCCGCGTTTCAAATCGCGCGATGCTACGGCAATGGCGGCGCTGGGGATTGCAGCTGGTGGTGCTCATTGGTTTACGGCTTTGGCGCTCGGGGTGACTCTTCTCAAATGCCTTCTCATCCCTACCTAGTAAGGGACCTGCACGGCCAGTGGCTGGGCTTGGGGGACAGGGTTCCTAGGAAAGGGTAAGAGGAGAACCCGGGAGCTCTGATGGCCACTCCCCAGCCTTTGCTGGGCTTCCCATTGCATCCTGTTGCACTTCAGCTGGCAGGCATAGCCTGGCTGCTGTCAGGCCGTAGGCCAGCCGTGCTGAGCCCCAGGGTCTTCACCCGTGGCGTGTTGACTAAGAACACCCACTTCCTAATTCCTAAAGAATGCAGTAGAGAGCCAGGCAGTTTCGGGTCCTCACCCTGAATGGAGTTGGTAGGGTAGACAGTAGGAAAATGCTACTCGTGGTCGGTGCAATGAAGGGAATAGTGTAATGGCTAGCAGGGTGTTATACCCGTTTTTGGAGGTGACATTTGAATTAAAATTCGACAATGGCCCTGTGGTTAGAAAGAACTTTATAGAGTATTCTAGGAAGAGAAACTGGCTGTTTTGGCTAAAGATTGGTGAAGGAGAGATGTAAAGCTTGATTAGACAGTTGCCAGATCGCACGGGGTTATAGGGGACTATAAACAGGCGTGTGAGAAATGAGTGCCATGCCAGGACTGAAAACATAGAGGCCAGGAAGCAGTCACCAGGCTGTGGCATTTAAACAGTGGTTGCTCAATCTTTAATATCTGTTTCCATCTTCTCTTCCTCGTTTTCCTTTTTTACTCTGTTTTCTTCCCTTTCCTCTGGGTCTGTCTCCCCCACCCTCCCTACTTCATACCTCAAGGTTTAGTTTAGCTTTCTTCTTTCTTTGAGTCCCTTGATGATCCCCTGCTGGGTACAGGGGACATGTGTGTAATTGCAGAAGCAACAAAATGTATGTGTAGTTTCAGCAAAGTGACTTAGATGAACTTGGAGAAAGAGGATTTGATTAGATTTCTTTTCTGCGTGGCTGAAAGAAACTTCTAATTTTACAAGCAAATAGGAAAACCGAATCATTCTACAATGTAGGAAATTATTTTTACATCAGAATGAAGCTGAAGTTTTTTTCCTGAGGTTTGTGCATGTAGAATGATGTTTCCTTATATCATATCACACTAAATAAAACCTCAAGGTTTTGTTACTTTGAATACTGCTCTGTCCAGGGTTAGAAACGCAGTGTTAGTTAATGCTTTCCTTCTCAAACTGGAAATGCTGGGTTAAAATCCAGATTCTACAAAGCAGAACAGAAGGATCCAAGAGCACCTAGAAGAGCATCAGCTTTTACCTGCTGAAAAGGGGGGGGGGGGGGGGGAGCCGTGATTGAGACTAAGAAGCAGGTGACGGAGAGACTTAGGAGAAAGTTATCACTGTGAAAAAAATTGTACCGAACGCATTGACAGAATGTAAATTGGGCTTTCAAAGTGTAACTCCTTTGGTTAGTGGTGGAGCCCATGTAGAATAGTAGGTATCATTCTACATATGGAAGGAAGGTGAAGTAAAAAAGCCAGTAATGAATGTAGGCGATCCAAGGATGTGTTTATATGCATGAGTAGTCAGGGAGCTGTAGGTGAAGAGAATTTGGGGATCCGGGAAAGGTAAGGCAATTTTTTTCCCCATTTTCTCTGGAGAGCTAATTATTTTTAAGAATTCAGCTTTACCAGATGAAGAATTTTGTTAGAAATGTTTGTAAGCAACACCCTGAAGGCTCTAGGTAACTCTTTAGATGTTTCTCACTGACTTGCAAGCCCCCAGCAGCTTGGTAGAAGGAGAACTTACTTCCACCTGAGCAAGATATTTCAGGTCTGCATCTATGAGATAATATGTTACGACTGTGACTGAGGGACGTTGGGTCTATTCAGAAGCATAAGATTTAAACATTGGTAAATGTGAAGTCTCATTTTATTCATCTGATTGTTTTGAACAGCCATTCCACAGACTTTGAAGTGCACCGAAACTGGCTTGCCATTACTCACAATTTGCCAGTATCACAGTGGTACTATGAGGTAAGTTTTAACTATCACTTTTGGACCTAGATGTTTAAAAGGTGTATAAACACAAGTAAATTTTATTGTTATTAAAACAGTTTTCCATGCAACCATAGGCCTGCTTAATCTTTATAAAAATTACATTTTTTTCCCGGTACTCTGTACTAATGAAGTCTCGTTACTTCAAAATAAGCATCTCAGTCTAGTGATTGGCAATTATAATCTGTGCCGTACTATATTTGGAGGAACATTGGATAGAGAAAAAGGCAAAAATTAAAGTCAGCCTAGCTGTGCCATTAACTAGTTATATGTGGGTTTGCCAAAAGATTCATGGAAAATGTGTATTGTGGAACAACTATGCATAGATTTCAAAGTTTTTGTGTAAACATAAACATACCATTTACATTTTTCACTGACTTTCTCTTGCACTCTTTTGTAGGCAGAAAAAGATATCTACCTGAGCTTTAGCCTCTCACGTGACTCATGAGGATTTAGAATGAATCATTTCCTGTTATTTTTTTTTTATTTTAACTTATTTTATTTTTGAAGGTTTATTTATTTATTTGAAAGGCAGAGTTACAGAGAGAAGGGGAAATAGCAGGATCCTCCACCTGCTTGTCACTCTCCAGATGACAACAGCTGGAGCTGAACCAGGCTGAAGCAGGCGCTATGAGCTTCTTCCAGGTCTCCCACACAAGGGAAGGGACCCAAGCACTTGGGCCATCCTTTGCTGCTCTCCCAAGTACATCAGCAGAGAGCTGGGACTTGAATTAGTGGCCAGATGAGATGATGGCACCTCAGGCAGCACCTTTATCCACTATACCAGCTCCTCTGTTTTTTTTTTTTTATTAAGATTTATTGTATTTATTTGAAGGCAGAAAGAGAGAAGGAGAGATAGCTGTCTTCCATCAGCTTGTTTACCCTCTGAATGGCTATGACAGTTGGGTACAACCCCGGCTGAAGCCAGGAACTAAGAATTCCATTTGGATCTCTCACATGAATAACTACTGCTCTCCCAGGTTGAATAGCAGGAATCTGGATCAGGACCTAAACCAGCACTCCAATATGGGATGCTGGCGTTGCAGGCAGCAGCTAAACACACTGTATCACAACACCAGTCTGTAGAATGAATCTCTCCTAATATCCCCTTTGAGCTTGCTGTTGTTTGGCTGAGTCAAGTTAGTACTTTGTACTGAAAAAAAACACACATTGTGGTATAGCAACTAAAACTGCCACTTATAGCACCAGCATCCAATATATGTGTCGGTTTGAATCTGGCTGCTTCACTTCAGATCCAGCTCCCTGCTAAAGTACCTGAGAAAGCAGAAGATGACCCATGTGGGAGATCTGGAAGAAGCTGCAGGTACCTGGCTTTGAGCTAGCCCTGCTGTGGCCTTTGTGACTGAAGAGTTAGAAGGACCAAATGATTTTCTGTTCCTTACGTGGCCATATGTGTTGAAGCCCAGAAGCCTGGGTCAGAGCCTCTCAGAGCTTTTGCATCTTGTAAGTATCTATTCTTCCAGGACTTAACATTCTTTGTCATTCGTCCTATGGTAAAGATCTGACAATTCCTTTTTCTGGTCTCTCTCAAAGAGATCCCAATTAGTAGTTTTTACTGGCACTCAGTTAGTTCTATGAACCCCACATGCTCTTCCCCAGAGAGGAGTTTTCCATTGCAAAAAGCAACAGGTGCAGAATAGTGAGATGATAATCGCTGTCTCAGTTCTTCTGCATGCAAGGCTTAGATTAGTTTTAGAAATTTCCTGGGCGATAACCTAGTGCTAAGTCCTCACCTTGCATCTGCAAGGATCCCATACAGGCGACAGTTCATTTCCTGGCTGCTCCACTTCCCATCTCGCTCCCTGCATGTTGCTGGGAAAGCAGTAGAGGATGGGTGCTTGGGACCCTGCACCCATGTAAGAGACCTGGAAGGAGCTTCTGGCTCCTGGCTTTGGATCAGCTCAGCTCTGGCAGTTTTGGCCATTTGGGGAGTGAACCAGCAGATAGAAGATC